CAGCTGAATTTCACGAAATACCCACCTTGTACCCATGCCTGTTTTCATTTCCATTCAAATAGCACACAAACACTTCAAACACGTCCTCAGGGCTGTTCAACTCGCGTCCCCACATGTTCAACAGTTCCTCTTTACTCTTGTTTGTACCCAGCAGCACCAAATGATAATCCTTTAATTCTCCAAATGACGCTGCGCTAGAATCTCCCCACCTCCCGTTCGGGAACTCATCCCAGTTTGAAGTACGGATCATGTAACTGCGAGGTCTTGAGGTCCAAAAAATCGGACGAACTAGCTCCATTTGGCCCCTCCTTGCTTGGGCGGGGCTCGGCATCCAAGGCAGTCTCCGCATAGAAACGGAATCCAGTTCGTCCTCCTTATGCGACATTCCAATCTTTTCTAGAATTTCTGTGATGGAGGTCTCCCTGTTCAATGTATAGAAATGTACACCATGGACGTGGCCGCTTTCAAACAGCTGCTTACACATTTCTGTGGAGTATTTGATGCCGTAATTCATGACAGCAGTGGTGTCATCTTTCATTGGAGCCAGTTTGTCCAACAGCCACTGTGGTATCTCTACGCGGGATTGCCGTTTCAGTTGCCGCAATGAGTTAAAGTTCTATCGAATACCAAAAAGATAACTTTAAAAGTTGTGTCATACATAGACCTCGTAAGAAGTGCAGCCCCACAAGGGTTTCTACGCCCGCGAGGTCTGCACGGGGTCTAGCTCATTATTAGTGTCAGACCCTTCGCAAAGTTGTACCTCTCTAGCTCGCTCTGACCGAGGCCTCAAACGTTCTTGCGCGTGGAGCAACGCTGGTGCCTTAACACCACTCATGCGGGCCTGCTCACAGGCTAACCATGCATTGATTTGACAAAGTAGAAATCGAAACTTGACACTGATTTATTAAAAAATAACTAACTACTTGCTTGAGTAGGAGGGCCTGAGAACAACAAATTTGGATCGAGGCCATGACGGACGGATCGAGCGAAGCTTAGTCATGACGGAAAGCCAAACATTTTCCCATCCGACCCGACCCAACTTAGTCAATAAGCATTTTATAATATAGCCTTCACTCTTTTTTTTTCATATTTTATACTTTCATTTTGCATCTTGCGAGGCTGGACAGGTTTCTCGGGCCCTGCACGTGCCACTGCGTGCGGCTCTCGCACGGGGATTTTTCGTCTAAAGCTTTTCAATAAAAGCGCGCGCGGAACCGTAAGGGTGATCTAACAATACAACTTATTACAAACCTGTATTGGAAAAAGGGCAGGTATAATGGGAACATTGATTCCATATCTCTGGCAATCGTCAACAAACTTAAGGAAAGTTTTAACTTCAAAGAACATTTGTGTAATGATAAGGTCTGCACCGGCATCAACCTCGGCTTTAAGATGTTTTAAGTCTTCTTCATAACTGTGAACGTCAGAGGAGGCCATCAAATAACCTAGAACATGAGAATATAAATCACATAATGTTTCCACTGTTAATTTTTTTTTTACCATATTAAGGCGACAGAAGGCGCAAAATATGCCACAGTATTACACTGAAGAACAGGGCAAAAATACGAGGGAGGAGTGGAGGACAAAATGGCCGCACTGAACGATCTAAACTTTGGTTTTATTCCATTTTTTTAAGCTTAACTTTTCAACCCTTTAAGCCCCAGTAGTGACCAGCATCTAATTTCTCTTCACAATATCACTGCCTGGTCAAATGTACGGATCATGAGAATGAATGAAATGATTACCAAAGATGAAACGTCTTGATGTTTGAACAAATTCTCTCGATCAGTAAAATAAGAAACATATGGGGAACAGTGACGAGAATATACATGTCAATATCGGGGCTTAAAGGGTTACGCAACAAAATTTTAAGCGCATCAGATTTTTTTTGGTTAGCCATAAAAACACTTCAATGGCTTTAGCTTTGTTTTCTACGCAGGCCATATTCGATGGCGTTAACGAGAGATGCGTTGGTCGTTATGTACAGTCACCCGGGTTTAACGCGGAAAATAACTAATTTTCTTCGAGGAACAGGAATGAAACCGAAAAAAAAAAAAGACAAAAAAGTCATTGACACGGGGTATGATGCGCGGTCACCCATCCGAGTTTTAACTCCAGCCAATAGGCCTCAACTTCAATGAGAGGCACATGCACGTGGCTAACAAGCAGGTGGCTAATTTCCAAATCTCACAACGCTGATATTCAATCCCATTTTTTAGCGTGGTCTGCGACAGGCATCCCACGTAAAACTAAATCCCTCATGCAATGATTTAACATAAGTTACGAGCAAATAGTTTGTTCTCATTGCTCATATTTTTCTTCTCCCCTTCAGAGCAAAGAAAAATACTGCACAGCTCGCAAAATACTTGCTAGTATCATAAGTAAAACTTTCGGATAAGGTGTGTATAATCCTGGCTAACGCCAAGAGTGCCAATTCTTACTCACTACTCAGGAGTCTCATACCTGCAGATTGAAATACTAACTCATGTATAAACATAGCAATTTGAATACAATTGTCAAAGAAGAAGAGAAGAATACCCACTAAGGTTTTACATACCTACCACTCCTATTGTGAAGTGGTCCCCAAATTCACTTTTGATAAATTTAACCAGGTCCACAGTGTAGTCGAATCCATCTTCTTTTGGTGTCATGGCTTCACCATAGCTTTCATCTGCTAGACAAAAGGTGAAAGTTTTCTCAAGTTTTAATCAGTAACTCAATAAATCTGCACTGTTACTGAATCTCCCTAGAGTAATCAATTAATGGTGGTTACTCAGCTGTTAACCCTTTTAACACCAAGATCTGATTGTTAATTCTCCCCTCCAGCTGCTAAACATTTCCTTGCAAATAAGTTATGAGAATTTGGTGTTAGATCAAGATTACAACTTCTACCTAATAAGTTTGAGTATTCTCGTTACCTGTATGCTGGATCATGTATGGATGTTATCAGGAGAATTAACATGTTAATCACTTGTTCTAGCCTTTCCAGAGTTCTTACGTTGTGTTGGAAAGAAAAACAGCGGGAGACTTGCGGACCAAAAGTTAGCTCACAAGAGTTCAGGTTCTAGAGATCCAGGTCCAAGACCCAGCCTGGTCATTGTGTTGTATCAAAGACAGTTCACTCTCACAGTGGCTATCACCATCCAGGAGTATCAATGGGAACAAGGGAATTGTCAGGGAAGCCTGATGAAATGATATAGGGGAGTGGGGTCTAGCCTCAGGAGGTAGTGGCATCTTATACCAGTCTATTGTAATACTTATGGTAATACGTATGGTCACATCATGCTACAGATACCAGAGGAAGCCCTGGCCAACATAAAATGACTCACATAAAATTCAAGCAGTACCTCCTCTCACTGCAAGAACACTTTTAATACCAAGATTTTTAGCTCGATTAAGATGCTCCAACACCTGACTTCTTGTTGTGTTTCCTGATGGGATGTGAATCATAATATTTTGTCCATATACATCAATCATTGCCGCAGAAACTAACAGTGTGCTAGGCTCTGACTGACACTTGTCTGACATAGGGTCTTGAGATGGTTTCCAAGTGATGTCACAAAAGAGAGGAGTACACTGTTCATGTAATCTTCCAAGTATTGCCATAAGGTTGGTTGCTCCATTGAAGGTCTTTGGTGGATAAAACTCCAAGGAAAAGAACTGTTCATTCTTCTCTATTTTATGCCTGATAGTGTCAATAAGTTTTTCAGGCTTTGATTCCCTTTCACTCGCCTGTTGTGACATGATTTTCTCACTCTTAGGCTAATAGTGGCTCATAACATATTCACACAGCCCTGAAAAGATTTAATGAGGACAAACACCGATGAATTAATTGATTTATTAAATAAAAATCATCTTACTATCTATCTACAGTTCTATTTTACCAAAGGGACTTAGATTCACTTTATCATCAGATACATAGATTGTCCCAAAAGTTGTTGCTGTGCCTCATGTTAGTTTTTCTTGTTGTTGCCACCTTTTAACATGTTTAATCATTTTGTGATCTAATACTGAACAGACCCACAACAATATGGAATCTATTTGCTAATAGATTTATGTACAATATACAGGTTAAAACCCTATAATGTAAAGAAGACAATGCATTTTGGAATTACCTATAAGTAATTTATTATATCCATTTTGAAAGCACTGTTGATCCTGCAATCTGATTTGGCTCTCATTTGTGCAATTTGATCACAAATCAAAACATTTCATAATATTTTTTCCCAGCCTGTGGAGGATACAGCAAGATTAATTTTTCCCAGCCAATGAGAGAGCTTTACTAAAAAAAACAACAACCAATCAGATTTCAAGACTTGTTTTAAGTGACCAACCAAATTACACTTTTGCAACTTTTTACAAACCAGCTAAATACTTGATCATTTGAATATTTGTACAGATTACAAAAACCTGTATTTGAATGACTGAATTTTGCAATTTCAAAATAGATGTAATCAAGTGGTAATTAGACTTTGTGTTGCACAAGTTTAGTCTGAACCATACTTGTGGTTTTAAATCAAACTTGCACTGAGTGCTTGTTCAACTTTGAAATCACACCTATGATTGCAGATCAAATTGCACTCTGCTCAGTTTAATTACCATAATATATCATTCATTTCTTACAAACAAATGTGTTTTTCTGACAGGCAAACAACCTCTCATGTTCCCATGGCTGGATTTTCCCTATTACCTCTAGGACCATGATGTACCAGGATGTACTGTTACTGCTGTTTGAATAACTCGAGGGTTTGTGCAAATTTCACCCAACAGTATGTGTTTCATTTATTCTTCCTTTCAGTTCTCTTCACAGAATTCTCCATATTCTATCGAAGCGTTCATAGGGTCACACATTTGAAAAAGAATCTTGCGTAATAAAGCTGACCCATGAAGTTTGTGTTGAGTTATCGAATGATACTAGCAGCTTGAACAATTCGCACAGAAGTGTGATTGACTAGGAACAAAAACCGCTTTCAGACAGATTACTCTTTCCGAAATTGCCCTCTTACATGCTAAATTTACTTCCATTTCAATTGAAACCTCTGCTTATGACATGAATACAATTTCTTGAAATTTCAGCGGAGAATGAATGTGTGACATAACATGAGATGCCCCATATATGCTCATAACATTTCGGCTCTCAATGACACCATTAAGTATATGGCACGTACTGAATCATACCTTTTTTATGCAGTATTCGGATCAAGTTTGTTCTTGTCTAAATCCTTTTAGAATTTCCAGAGTTAACTTGCGCAGGAAAGTGTGTAGTTGCTCAATAACAAAATCTCAACTAATCGCTCCAGTCCCTCGCCATCGACTGAGGGACCAGGCCCCTCTCACGCCCCCAGTTGTAGATGACGTTCGCTCTCTC